TTATTATTATTATTATTATTATTATTTTACTGGCACAAAACCACAGTATGTCACAGCAAACGAGATCTATATGCTGGATTTTGTATTTAAAAAATCACAAGTTAATCACTTCCCAAGCGTCTAAGACTGTGTGATGTATTATTATTATTATATTTATTATCCTGCTTTCCTCTCCTAAAAGAGACTCAAAGCAGCTATTATTATTGTTATTATAACGTTAACTGTTATTGTTGAATGTTGTGGAATCCAAGGGGCCTCCAGCATCTTCACTGAGTGCATCTCCACTGGGGAATTAATGCAGTTTGGCACCACTTGTAAACTTGTGAACCGCTGTGAGTCGCCTTCGGGCTTGAGATACAGCGGTATATAAGCAAAATAAATAAATAAATAAATAAATAAACTGCCTTCTGTTATTGTCACTTGGACATCCTTTTTTAATTGGCCTTAAATGCCCTTTCCTTTGCAGACTGCCAGCTGGAGAAGCTGCCCATGCGCCCCAGGGACCGGTCCCGGGTGATCGATGCCGCCAAACACGCTCACAAGTTCTGCAACACCGAGGAAGAGGAGAACGTTTACCTGCGCAGGTGAGGAGGGGGCCCACGCTCCCCAGGCCTGCATTAATTCTATAGCGTAGATACTACGTTCATCCGGAGAGGCCCTGCTCACGATTCCACCTGCGTTGCAGGCTCGTTTGGTGGGTACAAGGGACAGGGCCTTCTCTGTGGTTGCCCCCCGACTTTGGAACATCCTCCGCAAAGACATTAGACTAGCACCCACATTGGCAGTCTTTAGGAAGAACTTGAAGACCTGGCTATTCCGATGTGCCTTTCCTGAATAGGATAACCTCCAGCACTATGTCCCAGAAGCACTATTAGAGCTTAAGACTCTCTGCACATGGCACTTGCCCAGAATCCCAACATATCACTTCTTACACCCAGCACTTTTTAACCTGTACCCTTCATTGGCCCGGCCCTGGTTTTATTGCGTAATAGTGTCATGTTTTGTTGTTGTTATTGCTTATGTTTTTAATTTGCTTGCATTGTATTGTTATTGTTTTTTGTTGTTGTTGAGGCCTTGGCCTTTGTAAGCCGCATCGAGTCCTTCGGGAGATGCTAGCGGGGTACAAATAAAGTTTAATAATAATAATAATAATAATAATAATAATAATAATAATAGCCGCGCTGAGTCTCCTTTGTGGAGAAACAAAGTGGGGTATAAATAAACATAATAATAATAACATTAACAACCTCAGATATGCAGATGACACCACTCTGATGGCCGAAAGCGAGGAGGAGCTGAGGAGCCTTCTAATCAAGGTGAAAGAAGAAAGCGCAAAAGCCGGGTTGCAGCTAAACGTCAAAAAAACCAAGATTATGGCAACAAGAATGATTGACAACCGGAAAATAGAGGGAGAAACCGTGGAGGCCGTGACAGACTTTGTATTTCTAGGTGCAAAGATTACTGCAGATGCAGACTGTGGCCAGGAAATCAGAAGACGCTTACTTCTTGGGAGGAGAGCAATGTCCAGTCTCGATAAAATCGTAAAGAGTAGAGACATCACGACTGGCAACAAAGATCCGCCTAGTCAAAGCCATGGTCTTCCCTGTAGTAACCTACGGATGTGAGAGCTGGACCTTAGGGAAGGCTGAGCGAAGGAAGAGAGATGCTTTTGAGCTGTGGTGTTGGAGGAAAGTCTGAGAGTGCCTTGGACTGCGAGAAGATCCAACCAGTCCATCCTCCAGGAAATAAAGCCCGACTGCTCACTGGAGGGAAAGATACTAGAGACAAAGTTGAAGTACTTTGGCCACATCATGAGGAGACAGGAAAGCCTAGAGAAGACAATTATGCTGGGGAAAGTGGAAGGCAAAAGGAAGAGGGGCCGACCAAGGGCAAGATGGATGGATGGCATCCTTGAAGTGACTGGACTGACCTTGAAGGAGCTGGGGGTGGTGACGGCCGACAGGGAGCTCTGGCGTCGGCTGGTCCATGAGGTCACGAAGAGTCGGAGACGACTGAACAAATGAACAACAACAATAATAAGAAAAATGCACCAGGAATGCTTTATTATTTTCTTAATTGATTAATGATAATTAAATACAGGTTTCAAAGGGTAGATTTCATTTAGTACTTCAGTGCAGTTCCTCTTTGGTTTCTTTTATCCATTTAACTAACGCTGTTTTCCTCCTTCCTGTTTCCAGGCCAGAAGGTATTGAGCGGCAATACAGGAAAAAGTGTGGAAAGTGAGTATTCTGTTATTATTATAATAATCATAATCATTATCATCATATTGTTATTGTTGTTATTATTATTATTATTATTACATTGCGATTATTATCATTATATTATTATTGTTATGTAATCGTATTGTATTGTTATTGTTATTATATTCTTGTTATTATAATCTTGTTATTGTATTGTTGTTGTTAAAATAACTTCTGCTTTGAGTTTCTTTTAGGAAAGGAAAGCAGGATAATAAATTTAATAATAATAATCAACAGCCCTCTTATTTGTCAAGTTGCCTTCATTCCTACACTTCCATAGCATTCATCAGTTGCAGTTAAAGTTACAATAATTAAAATAATCATAATTAGAGCTATAAGGAGAAGCAGGTCGTGAATACGTTGTTGTTGTTATTGTTATTGTTATAATGTGCAATTTTATAATATGCGAATATTCCTAGGTGCGGACTGCTCCTGTTCTACCAGCACCAGCAGAAGAATGCTCCGGTCACCTTCATTGTGGATGGGGCTGTGGTCAAGTTTGGGCAAGGCTTCGGCAAAACCAACATCTACACCCAGAAGCAAGAGCCCCCCAAGAAGGTCAGGAGATAATAATAATAATTTTATTTCTTACCTCAAGGCGGGTCACAGCCCAGTTCAAACACACAAACATTGCAAAAATTCTATTAACGCACTTTTTTTTTCATGTCAGGAGCAACTTGAGAAACTGCAAGTAGCTTCTGGTGTGAGAGAACTGAGTCGCCAATTGGCTGAGAAAGGCGGTATACAAATACAGTAAATAAATAAATAAATAAACTGGCTGTCTGCAAAGACGTTGCCCAAAGGAACATTGCCCGGACGTTTTGATGTTTGACCATCCTTGTGGGAGGCTTCTCTCATGTCGCTTTTGCATGGGGAGCTGGAGCTGACAGAGGGAGCTCATCCGTGCTCTCCCCGGAGGGCTCCAACACACATATTACAATATTTCAAAGTTTCTGGAATATAACAACTTCTTTCAAAGGAAGGTTCACATAATGAAACGGGAAATGGCGCTTTCAAACCAGGAACAGAACTGTTTTTCGAATTTTGGAGACAACTAGATCTCTTGACTTTCCAGGTGATGATGACGAAACGAACCAAGGATATGGGCAAGTTCAGCTCAGTGACTGTTTCCACGATTGACGAGGAAGAGGAAGAGATCGAAGCGGTGAGTTTGTTCTTCCTGCCTTTTGTCACAAGAAGTGTAAACTGCACATGTATGTAAAAAGAAATATTATTATATTTCTTTATATTATTATTATTATTATTATTATTATTGTGTTTATTTATACCCCATTTTTACTCATTACTCAACAAAGAAATGTCTATAGCGCCTCCATGCTTTGTTATTTCCATAATTTTGCATATTCAATTCTTGCTGCTGTTGTCATACAAAGGAAGATTCTTTCTTGATGTTTCATTATCTATTTGTCTAAGAATCCCAAGAGGAAGAGTTCTGGTTCCAATGAAATTTCACATACAATTCAGTTTATTTGTTCTTGCTGCCAAGTGTTTCTCGTGATTGCAAACACAATAACGTCCGTCTTGGGTTGTCTTTCCAGCGAGAAATTGCAGACTCGTATGCGCAGAACGCCAAAGTGATTGAGAAGCAGCTCGAGCGGAAGGGCATGAGCAAAAGGCGGCTGCAGGAGCTGGTGAGTCTCGTTTCATCCTTCTTCCTTCCCTTAGTCCTATCGCTCTATTATTATTATCTATGTACATAGCAACACAACACACATGCACATGAGGTCCAAGTGCCTGGGCTTCGTTTCTGAATATCAGGCTCTTCCCAAGGGCCTAGGATAGTAGAGATATCATTAGGTTATTATTATTATTATTATTATTATTATTATTATTATTTTATTTACAAGTACAATGCAACACAGCACGCATGCACATGAGGTCCAAGTGTCTGGGCTTCGTTTTTGAATATCAGGCTCTTTCTAAGGGCCTAGGATATCGGAGGTATTATTAGGTTATTATTATTATTAGGTTATTATATATCCCGCCTTGACTACTGCAACGCTCTCTACGTGGGGCTGCCCTTAAAGACGGCCCGGAAACTTCAGCTAGTTCAGCGCGCGGCAGCCATGTTACTAACAGGAGCGGGACGCAGGGAGCATACAACGCCCTTGCTGTTCCAGCTCCACTGGCTGCCGATTTGCTACCGGGCCCAATTTAAGGTGCTGGTGCTATCCTACAAAGCCCTAAACGGTTCCGGCCCAAAATACCTTTCGGACCGCATCTTGGCCTATGAGCCCACGAGGACCTTGAGATCATCTGGGGAGGCCCTTCTCTCGATCCCGCCTGCTTCACAGGCACGTCTGGCGGGGACGAGAGAAAGGGCCTTCTCGGTGGTGGCCCCCCGGCTGTGGAACGACCTCCCTGCTGACATCAGACAGGCGCCTTCCCTTCTGTCCTTCCGAAAGAGCCTGAAGACCTGGCTATTTGAGAAGGCATTCAACTGAGCGCTACGGCAACTGGTAATTGACAACTGGAACGGAATACGGATTACGATATTGGTTATGATTCTATGATGTGACGGAGCGGATTATTTAGTGTAACTAGATTATAGTGTATTATTGTTGTATTGATTCCCTGTTTTGCCCTTTTTGTAAACTGTTTTTATATGTTGTGCACCGCCGCGAGTTGCCCTAGGGCTGAGAGCGGCGGTCAATAAATGCAGTAAATAAATAAATAATAAATAAATTATTATTATTATTATTATTATTATTATTATTATTATATTTACAAGTACATAGCAAAACAGCACACATGCACATGAGGTCCAAGTGTCTGGGCTTCGTTTCAGAATATCTGGCTGTTCCCAAGGGCCTAGGATATTGGAGGTATTATTAGGTTGTTATTATTATTATTTCCAAGTACAATGCAACACTGCACACATGCACATGAGGTCCAAGTGTCTGGGCTTCGTTTCTGAATATCAGGTTCTTCCCAAGGGCCTAGGATAGTAGAGGTATTATTAGGTTATTATTATTATTATATTTACAAGTACATAGCAAAACAGCACACATGCACATGAGGTCCAAGTGTTTGGGCTTCGTTTCTGAATATCAGGCTCTTCCCAAGGGCCTAGGATATTAGAGGTATTATTAGGTTATATCTCTCTCTCTCTCTCTCTCTCTCTCTCTCTCTATATATATATATATATATATATATATATGCACACACACACACAACAACAACAACACACACACACAACAACACACACACACATACATACAGTAAAGGTTTTCCCCTAACATTAAGTCCAGTTGTGTCCGGCTCTGGGGGTTGGTGCTGATCTCCATTTCTAAGCCGAAGAGCTGGCGTTGCCCATAGACACCTTCAAGGTTATGTGGCCAGCATGACTGCATGGAGCGCCGTTACCTTCCCGTTGGAGCGGTACCTATTGATCTACTCACATTGGCATGTTTTCGAACTGCTAGGTTGGCAGAAGCTGGGGCTGACAGCGGGAGTTCACGCCGCTTCCTGGATTTGAACCTGCGACCTTTTGGTTATACATATATACATAGCAACACAACACACATGCACATAAGGTCCAAGTGTCTGGGCTTCGTTTCTGAATATCAGGCTCTTCCCAAGGGCCTAGGATATTAGAGGTATTACTAGGTTATTATACTATATATATATATATATATATAGTTTTATTTACATGTACTCTTCCCAAGGGCCTAGGTTATTAGAAGTATTATTAGATTATTATTATTATTATTATTATTATTATTATTATTATTATTTTCTATGTACATAACAACACACATGTACATGAGGTCCAAGTGTCTGGGCTTCATTTCTGAATATCAGGCTCTTCCCAAGGGCCTAGGATATTAGAGTTATTATTATTATTATTATTATTATTATTATTATTATTATTATTATTACTATTACTATTACTATTATTTTGTTTACATGTACATAGCAACACTGCACACATGCACATGAGGTTCAAGTTTCTGGGCTTCATTTCTGAATATCAGGTTCTTCCCAAGGTCCTAGGATATTAGAGGTATTATTAGGTTTATATATATATATATAGATTTATTTACATGTACTCTTCCCAAGGGCCTTTGATATTAGAAGTATTCTTAGATTATTATTATTATTATTATTATTATTATTATTATTATCCTAACACTCACAAACACACACACACACATTATTATTATTATTATTATTATTAGAGATATATTAATGTTATTGTTATTATTTTCTATGTACATAACAGCACAGCACAAACGCACATGAGGTCCAAGTGTCTGGGGTTTGTCTCTGAATATCGTGGCTCCTCCCAAGGGCCTAGGATATTATTATTAGTATTATTATTATTATTAGAGATACATTAATGTTATTGTTATAGCACACCAATAAGGCCAGGAAAAACCCAGCAAAGTGCCTTCTAGGGCTATTCAGAAAAGATATTGATCAGGAAGATAAAAAAATATGCCAATGCAGATTTGTTGCAGCAAGAATATATATGTGTGTGTGTGTGTGTGTGTTGTTGTTGTTCATTCGTTCAGTCGTCTCCGACTCTTCGTGACCTCATGGACCAGCCCACGCCAGAGCTCCCTGTCAGCCGTTACCACCCCCAGCTCCCTCAAGGTCAGTCCAGTCACTTCAAGGATGCCATCCATCCATCTTGCCCTTGGTCGGCCCCTCTTCCTTTTGCCTTCCACTTTCCCCAGCATCATTGTCTTCTCCAGGCTTTGCTGTCTCCTCATGATGTGGCCAAAGTACTTCAACTTTGTCTCTAGTATCTTCCCTCCAGTGAGCAGTCGGGCTTTATTTCCTGGAGGATGGACTGGTTGGATCTTCTCGCAGTCCAAGGCACTCTCAGAACTTTCCTCCAACACCACCGCTCAAAAGCATCGATCTTCCTTCGCTCAGCCTTCCCTAAGGTCCAGCTCTCACATCCGTAGGTTACTACAGGGAATACCATGGCTTTGACTAGGCGGATCTTTGTTGTCAGTCTGATGTCTCTACTCTTTACTATTTTATCGAGATTGGACATTGCTCTCCTCCCAAGAAGTAAGCGCCTTCTGATTTCCTGGCCACAGTCTGCATCTGCAGTAATCTTTGCACCTAGAAATACAAAGTCTGTCACGGCCTCCACGGTTTCTCCCTCTATTTTCCAGTTGTCAATCATTCTTGTTGCTATAATCTTGGTTTTTTTGACGTTTAGCTGCAACCCAGCTTTTGCGCTTTCTTCTTTCACCTTGATTAGAAGGCTCCTCAGCTCCTCCTCGCTTTCGGCCATCAGAGTGGTGTCATCTGCATATCTGAGGTTCTTAATGTTTCTTCCAGCAATTTTCACCCCAGCTTTGCATTCATCCAGCCCCGCACATCCTCGCATGATGTGTTCTGCATACACGTTAAAAAGGTTGGGTGAGAGGATGCAGCCTTGCCGTACGCCTTTCCCAATCTTGAACCCGTCTCCTGTTCCGTGGTCAGTTCTGACTGTTGCTCCTTGTCCTTGTACAGATTCCTCAGGAGAGAGGGAAGGGGGCTTGGGATGCCCATCCCACCAAGAACTTGCCACAATTTATTATGATCCACACAGTCAAAGGCTTTAGAATAGTCAATGAAGCAGAAGTAGATGTTTTTCTGAAACTCCCTGCCTTTCTCCATTATCCAGCGGATATTGACAATTTGGTCTCTCGTTCCTCTACCTTTTCTAAACCCAGCTTGAACATCTGTGTGTGTGTGTGTGTGTGTGTGTGTGTGTGTGTGTGTGTGTGTGTGTGAGTGAATTAATGAATAAATGAGTGAATACATGCATTCTTTTTCTTTCTCCCTTCATTTATTTCTGTTTTGTTTTCAATCAGGCTGAGCTGGAAGCAAAGAAGGCCAAAATGAAAGGCACCCTGATCGACAACCAGTTCAAATGAGAAGCGGAGTCACTCCTATTTGAAAGTGTTGTGATTGTACATGGATATGCCTTTCAACATCCGGGCGCATCCACTGCAAGGCGATTGCCTGACAGAGTTTGTATTTTATCTATGCAGACTTGTTTGAGTCTTAAGAAATAGGGCTTCCTTTATTTCCTTGGGTCGGTTGGGCTGCGTTCCTTTTTTGTATATTTTCGTGTAAACATAACATTTGTCTTGCTAGGAGGGAAACAAAAGTTTGCAGAAAAATAAATAAATCCCTGTTAAAGGTTGGTTGGTTGATTTGTGGTGTATTATTTGCATCCATGATTCATGGCAAAATGCTTAATTATCGCATTTTCCTGCACCCAAATAAAAATGTGTAGTTATATTTAAAATGTTTTTATTTCCAAGCCGACTTCATTATACAAAACACTCAAGCAATAGATGAAAGAAGGACGAGGTTTGTGCATTCACAGTGCTCTGATCTATTCAGAGTCCAACAGTAATATATGCACAAATAAGACATTTTGTGTACCTCTTGTAAAGGTGGGGAGATAGATAGATAGATAGATAGATAGATAGATAGATAGATAGATAGATATTTCAAAAATAATTTTGTACATAAAACAAGGTTTATACACATTGAAGTGTTAGTGAAAGTGTCGCTGTTCCAGCCATCCGTGTGGACAACTTTGGAATGTTTCAGGATTCTGGGTCTACACTGCCATATCATCCAGTTCAAAGCAGATCATTTGGATTCAGAAACTGGATTATACAGCAGTGTAGACATGGCCATGCTCAACTTGTACCACGGGTTTTATTACGGATGCAACGGAAGAGATGGAAGCCCTGTTCGGAGAAGGCAAGACTCAATAAATAAGATAAATATGCAGTATCGTCTCCAGAAAAGGTTGCAAAAAGTGGATGGAGTGTGTCTCCACTTTGCAGAGGTGTTGCAACGCCACTGTCCTCTCTTGTTGTTGAGGGATGCCTTCTGGGCGCCCACCTGAAGCCTCTGGCCTGGGCTTGAGCTTCCCATGCAGGAGCTGTCCTCTGCTTCCTTGTTTGCTTGCTTGGTTCTTTGCTTGCTTGGTTCTTCCTTCTTTACCTCCTTTCCTTGCTTGCTTTCTTCTTTCCTTGCTTGCTTCCTACCTGGATTGCTTTCTCCCTTCAGCCTGCCTTCCTTGCTTGCTTGCTTCTCTGCTTCCTTTCTTGTTTGCTTCCTTACTTCCTTCTCTTTTCTTCCTTGCTTCTCCCTTCCTTTCTTGCTTTCTTCCTTCTTTCCTTGCTTGCTTCCTCCCTCGATTGCTTTCTCCCTTCAGCCTGCCTTCCTTGCTTGCTTCTCTGCTTCATTCCTTCCTTCTCCATTCTTCCTTGCAACTCTCTTCCTTCTTCCCTTCTTTGCTTGCTTCTTTCTTTTCTTCCTTCTCTCCTTCCTTTGTTTCTTCCTTTCTTTCCTTCTTCCTTCTCTTCATTCTTTCTTCTTCTTTCGTTCCTTCCTTTGCTTCTTCCTTCCTTTGTTCTTTCCATTCCTTTGTTCCTTCCTTTCTTTGCTTCTTCCTTCCCTTCCTTCCCTTTATTCTTCCTTCGCTCTTTACTTTGCTTTTTCCTTCCTTTGCTCCCTTCCTTTGCTTCTTCCTTCTCTCCTTCCTTGCTTGCTTCCTTCATCCCTCCTCCCCCTCCCTCCCTTCCTTTCTTTGCTTCCTTCTTCCTCCTTTTCTTTCCTTCCTTCCTTCCTCCCTTCCTCCCTTCCTTCTTTCTTCTTTCTTTCCTTCCTTCCTTCTCTTCCTTCCTTCCTTTTTTCCCTTCCTTCTTTCCTGTCTTTCTTCTTCCTTCTTTCCTTTCCTCCTTCCTTCATTCCTTCCTTTCTTCTTCATTCCTTTCTTCTTCCTTCCTTCCTCTTCCTTCTTCTTCTTCCTTCCTTCCTTTTTTTCTTTCCTTTCTTCTTCCCTTCCTTTTTTCCTTCCTCCCTTCCTTCCTTCCTTCTCTCCTTCTTCTTCCTTCCTTCTCTCCTTCCT